AACAAGAAAAGTATAGTTTTTTGCTGTCCCAAAAGTGGAGTTAATAAAACAAAATTACAAAATTTGAAGCATAAGAAACTTAAAATTACAAAAATAAAAATAAATAACATCACAATACTTTTTGTTGTCAAGTAGTAATTTAAATATTGAATCAAAACTTTCCAAAATTCCACATAGAAGAGAGTTTAGTATGGAAGATATTGCATGAATATGAAAATTAAAAGCAGAAGGCTGTAATGTAAAAGAAATTTTTGTTTTAATGAACAGATCTACTCCTGAAATTTATAAAATTTTGGAAAAATCATTGCAATAATTTCTAAATATCAATCAGGAAGGCCTATATCTCAAAGGATGATAATTGAATTGTGCATCTTGCATCACAACAGGATAAATCAGTTCATCAAATTTTGTGCGAAAGTGAATTAAAAGTATCAAAAAGCACTGTCCATCAAAGAATTTCAGTAGCTCCACATATGGAATTTGATGTCTTGACAAAAAAACCATCACTAATATAATGACACAAATTGGCATGAATGCAGTGAGCTATAGGTCACATGTTGTGGAATGACCAATGGCTCTCAATCCTTTTCAGAGATGAAAAGAAACATGAGGTCCCAGAGGGAAATCGAAATTTTTTGTTTCAAATGATGAAAATCAGGTGAGTAATTAAGCTTTCACCTTTCAGAATTAAACAAAGCAAGACAAAGTCTAGCTTAAATAATAAATTTTCTTTCCAACAAAATGGAAAACAAAGGATTTAAACAGCAAGGAGAATATCAAAGTCAAGGAAATTTTAGATAAATAGGAATCAGGTTTAGTCACAAAACTGACCTCTTCTGCACCCCAAAAGGTTTCAAATTGTCACCATGTGATGAAGGAGGACCAATCAAAGCATAGAATTGAGGAGAAAAACTGATAAAAATGCATTTCAAGGACACGACGTTCTTTGTCATAAAAATCTGTTGTTTGACCTTTCATCTATTTCCAAGAGACATTTGATCTCCTGGAGTTGTTGACACTCTTCAGGCTTCATCCTGCAACAAAGACTATTCTTTCCAAAGCTATACAGTGTGCCCTGGAGCCGACTGTGATTGATGAACTGAGGAAGACACTCTTCAGAATATTTGTGACTTTACTAGACTCTAATCCTAATAAACTTGTGTCGAAGGAGATGTAGAGATATTTGTAAGAAAACCTTTAATTATTTTATTAAACGGGTAAAGATGGAAAAAGTGCTCAGTGCTAATTTCATGCCCACACACATTGTCTCGACCCCACAATTGTCCTGACAATCACACATAGTCTACAAGCCTTACAAAAATTTAATTTGGATAGTCTAATTATTGGCATGATATTAGGAAAGAAGAGTGCAGTTTTTCAGCAGGCAAAAGGGTGATGGTTCTGTTGTGGTGTGGTACTGCTTTGGATTAATGATTTATCAAATTTAGTGATTTTAACTAGTACACAGACATCAAAAAGTTATCAAGAAATCCTAAAAAATAATTTAATAACCTATTGAGGAAGAAATTGGAGGACCTGATTGGATTTTCTAACAGGACAATGCCAGTATTCATTGTTCACACTCAACAACTAAGTGGCCAGCATGAAGTGCAGACTTAAATCCAATTGAGAAGTTGTGGGGTCATTCTTGCTTGAAAAATTTATGCTAATGTTAGGATCTTAGCATGTAAAGACCTCTAATCCTAAAAATTGCTGTTTAATATCTAACAAAAAATTGGTTTTAACGGTTCAGACTGGACACCGGTCACGTCCTGCCCGTCTAACTGACCCAAATAAAAGACATCCCCAAATATCATACCCACACATAAGTGTAACCTGATTAGTTCTAGATTGGACCCTGATCATTAGATTTTCACATGTGCAAAACAACAGTATTTTATGAAAGTTTTGGAACTTAAACAAAAAATCATTGAGTACTGATTTCAAATGGATCCAGAAATCTTACAAAACTTAATTAAATCAATGTCTAATTGCATTTTTGAAGTCATTAATATAATGACAGTTCTATTTCATATCAAAACAACTTTCATCAATTTATGTTATGAACTTTAGTTATGTTATGAGCTCAACGTTTAAACTTATCTATATTTTTGGGACATCACAAAATAAATTTTTTATGTTTAACACTTTATGTAAATATAAAATTTTGTAAAAACAATTATATAACGTTGTACTGTGCTATAAACAAACAATAATAACCACTTGCATTGTTAAGAAATACTTAGTATTTAAAAAAAAATTAAAAACATATAGATTATCTATATTTTTGGGACACACAGTAGTTGGGCTTCTAGATACTAATATAGTTGACAATTGTTCATATCAGCTATCTTGTCGGAAATTCAGCTTAAAGTCTTGCTGCAGATCAATCTTTCAGAATTTCTCATATTTTTTAATTTATGCAAAACTTACTTTCTATTACTAATATTTGTACAAAATAAATGTAATTCTGCTTATCTTTCAGCCAACTTTTAATGTTAATAGCACAAATAAAATCAGAAAAGGCCAGAGATATTTACTTTAAAATTCAGGTTTCTTTTTGATTATATGAAGCCTTCAGGGACACACAGTGCTGCCCCTCAGAATCACATTTCTGAGGTAATTGAATTTTAATGTTTGAAAAAACTCCAAACATGAAAATTCCCAAAACAATGACATGACAGCCACATCTACAAGCAATGTTTGGAGAGTAAAAATATTAACACACAACTATTCATATGATTTTAGGATTTTTTCGAACATTCAAACTCAGTTATCTCACAAACGTGATTCTGAAGGTTAGCATTATATGTCCCAGAGGGCTTCAAATGTATAATGACTATATAGAAAATAATTTCAATTGTCCACAAAAGACAGAAAAAACATTTTGGAAATTCCTTAATTATCAAAAGTTTCAAATACATTTTATCTACTTTTTAACATAATCATCACTAAGACCAAGGTTTTCCTATCATTCCAGATTAGTTTCCTAAGCTTTTTTCATTCCTTTTGAAAGAAAGCAAATATGTAATCCCTGTGTGCTAGGTTAAGAAGACATGTTTTGTACTAGACGGCGCTAGTTGGCTAGTGTCACATACTTTGGTCAAAGGTCATCTTCTTTGTTCTAGTTTGCTACGTCCCTGTGTAGCACGTGTCTCCCCTCTCTTTGTGCATGTAGTCGTGTTACATATAACTGTGTATTTCCGTACATCGTAAGATATACGTTTACTTGCTTCATCTTCTGACACCTTTGTTATAAAGTCTGCTACCAGATTCTTAACTAATCTTTCATAGCTAGTCATATCTCTATCATTGTCCTATTAAAAATGCATTCAACTGCAAAATTAACATCAGAAGGCACAACATAAGGTTCAAGGGTATAGATATAGGCTGATGATGGAACTGAAATTGTTTAGTACTAAACTTTTAAAGCATAAATTTATAGTAATCTATTGTCATAAAATAACCCAATATCAGAATTCTGTAAATTTTGTTTGTTTGTTTTGAATAACTAATTAAATTTTTTCAATATCTTACAATTCCTATCAGTGTTACTTCATGACTCAAAACTTCAATAAGCAAAATACTATGATCTTATCTTGCATTTGGTGGGATCATAAATCTACATCCATTTTCTAGCATGGTTATGCAGGAATACTGTTAATTAATATTGCTCATATTTTTTCTTACATTTTGGAACAACGATGGCTGCCAAAATTCAGTTCAACCCATTTTTATAGACTGTATGTACCATTAGAATTTTTTTTCTGAATTTCCTTCATATGTATTTTTTATATTTTCTTACAAAGTATGTATGAAATAATGCAGGCAAATAAATGTTAATTGAGTTTATTTTCCTACCTCTTCCAAATTAACTTCTTTAATTATTCTAATTAATTTGTTCATCAGAGAAGAATAAACTAATTTCCTATTAGTCTCTCCATTGTACAGAATTAAGGAAGTAAACCTGTTTTGATATTATACAGTTGAACATGTCTATCTTAAATCTCACAGGAATGAGAAAAAAAAATTGGAAATAGATAGGTTTTGAGATATAGAAGTTCCTACACAGTAAACAGTAATAAGTTTGATTGGAGGTATAGTATTTTATTCATACAGCAGCAAGTACGGTATATAACTGTATTAGGTACAAATAAGCCATTTTTGAGATACCTTAACAGAAATAGTTTGACAATAGTTTCTGATGCCCAACCAATAAGACGCAAGCCGAACTCAAAGCCAATCAACCAATCAGAGAAAAGCAGTGTTAATTGCAACTATGTACTGTATAACAAAAAATGTTTCTCAACTATAATTTATGCTATTAAATGTAGTCGCTTAGCTTTGAATTTGTAATTCACACTTCAGTCCACAATTTTGATATATAGAGATTTTCAGAGAAAATTAATTCACATAAATAAGGAAAATATATTGAGTTTAGGCTGAAAATGCAGGGAAAAAAATTAAATTTAGAGATAAAGAGGTTTTTGAGATAAACATGTTTGAGCTAGACAGGTTCAACTGTATTTACTATGTTTATAATTTTTGTAATTATAATATTCTGAATTATTTCTTTGTGTGAAAAACGTAAAACTTTTTCAAATTTGAATAATGTTTATTTAATTATTATAATCATTACTCCATATAAACCCTAAGAAGTGCTTGTTGTTATCAAATATAAATATTTCCTTTCAATTCAAATATTAAACTTGACTTAATCTAATATCAGTTTAGAAGAGTTATTTTCTATAAAACCATGTAACATGTTAAAACTATTTGGAAAATGTATCTAATATATATATTTGAATAATTAAATTCTTTTAATATCTTTTTTTATATAAAATTCAAATAAGAAAGTAAATCTTAATAATATATTAAACAAATTTTAGTACAGAATTTTTAAAAATTTAATTTATGTAATAAATATGAATTATTAAATAAAAATCCTTATCACTATCTGAAAAATCATGTACAATGAAAAGAAAACTAAAAATACTTACTCCTTAAAAACATTGCAAGATCAACTAAATTACGATCATCATCTTCACCAGACCATTTTTTAATTTTTAATGCATTGCCAGGTTGAAGTTGAAATGACTTTTGATTCCAATCAATAAAGATCACTTTAGATAAATCACGATTAAGACAAGATAAATCCTTTAAAATAATTAAAATTATAAATTAGTTAGAAATGTCTTTAATAAAATGTTTAAAATATATACGACATCTTAAAAATAAAAACCTTAACGTGATGTCCATTAAGATAACGAGTTGCATCCCGAAATAACCTGTAGGTGATATACCCATTTGGATCTAGAGTATCCAAAATTGGAAAGGCTGTCTAAAACACAATTAAACATAATATAAATCTTTTAAAATATAATGCAGTTTTTTTATCATTTATTCTCAAACAACAGAATTATATATTTAATTATTTATATTTATATTCATTAATTACTTAATCTGTCATACGAATTAATTTTTGCCTCAAGTTTCTAGCATCATCATATAAACTAACTCATGATTAACAGATAAATCCTTTAAAATAAATGAAAACCTAAACCAACTAAATATTAAGAAACAAATTTTAAAAAATTTTATTTATTTAATTTCAAGTTTAATTATTTTATGAAAAGTTATGTGCATTACAATTAAAACTTTTATTATTATTAATTATTCAATTAAAAATAAAAAAATAGAAAAATAAAAGTACTTTATACTCTTGCAAATATTTGAAACACAATAAAGCCAGCAAGCAGTAGTAATCAAGTTCTGCTCATGGATAGTGAGAAAATAAAAAAATTATTACATCATCACAGTACAAGAAGACATCACTAGAGATCAGTTTAATCACAAACGTTACAAATCAGAAATTGGCAATCTCAGTCTGGCAATAATGAAAATTCATCAATGTTGGATATGACTTTACAAGTTACTAATACAAAAATTTATATTTTATTAATATTCACACCAGCTTTAAGGTGTATAAAATTTTCTGCAACATGGTGTATATTCACAAGTTAAAGAAAAGTTTAAAAAGTAGCAAAATTTATAAAATATTGTTAGATGGTAATTAAGTTTAAAGTTGAAAAACATAGTCTGTTGAAAAAAAAATTGCCATTTATTCAGTTTCAGAATACAGTTTTTGACAACTGACTTTTCATTGTAAGATATTTTGTTGTCAAATTAAAACTTTTCTTTAAAACAATGAAAAAATATCTAATTAAAAACAAAATGGAGCAGCTGAAAATCTACATTTACCAGTGCTTGTTTCTAGTGGCTAGAAAGCTCTACAGTCCCCAAGTGGTAAAGATAGAAATGTAAGAAGACATCTGTGGCATTACAAGTTCTAATTTTAAAACTTTTGTTTTCAATTGGATATTTTTTCATTGTTTTTAAAGGGAACTTTTAATTCTGATGGTCAAGTAGCATACAATGAAAGGTAAGTCTTCAAAAACTATTCTGGAACATTGAAACTAAATAAATGTTGATTCCTTTTTCAACAGACTGTGTCTTCAATTTTATCATGTAGCAAAATTTATTCTAAACAAAAATATTGAAAACTTTTAAAGAGATTTGAATTTCTTTTTCTTTTGTTTTCAAGATAATAACTAATAACTATTAATTTTCTATATTTTAAAAAGTGAATTAAAATATTCAAAATGAAAAATAATGCTAATATATAATATAAGTTAGTTGATAATAATATAACAAGTTAAAAAAGTCAAGAATTAATTGGGATTAACATTTTTCAAGACCAAATGTCTTATCGTTAAATTCAAATTATCATATTCTAAAATTTTATCCTCATAAGATAAGAAAATATTTTCCAAATTTTAAATTTAAAAAAACTTTATGTTATATTTAAATATACAAAGTCATAAACAATTAATAATGAAAATAATTTAACAACTAAATCACACTCTAGAACCTTAGGAGTCCAGTAACAACAACAATTTAATGAATAACTAACTGTGTAAGAAGTTGTTTTAATTAGTAAAAACGTATATCGCAATTTTTAGTGTAACATAACTGTATGAATTGAGTTAATACATTAATTCACTAACCAATATATATATTTTTTTTGTTAATATTTAAGCAATATTTTTTATTTTATAGATTACTTGTACATGACAGTAACCTTTGATGATTGTGTATTAGAAAAAATATGAGGCTAAAGCATTTACTGAAAAATTTGAAGTACAGTAGAGCATTGATTATCCGAATCAATTGGGAAATCGGAAAATTGATTTTTCGGATAACTGATTATGTACGAAAAATATATTAACCTATCCCATGTTGAAATTTGTTCAAATCCTGACACGTTCTTAAGTACCCTCTCATGTTCGCACCTGTGCTGCCAGCTAAAACATGCAAACCAACAAAAATAATATTGGAGTAGCCCAAGACATAGCCAAAGATTGCAGCACCACAGCACTAGAGGAAATTTAAATTTGCCAACTGGATAGCTTTCGGTTAATTGATGTTTCAGTTGATTGATATTTGGATAATCGATGCTCTACTGTATTTGGAATGAATATATGTCTATGTGATGATGTTTAACCTGTAATTATAGTTTGGTCATAATATATTTTGTGCATATTAATTCTATCATTATTATACATTTAAGTACTATCTGTATAATAGTACTTAAATGTATAATAATTTGAGTTTGTAAGATTTTGATGTATTACATTTCCTATTTGATTAAATCTATATAGATAATCTATATATCATTATCATCATACTACACTGTTCCTTTGTTTTAGTAATATAATGCAAAAAAAAATGTTTTCATAATTATAAATATCAATTCTACACATCACAGGATCCCTAAATGTTGTTTCACTTAGCGTGTATGGTTCTATATTCCTTTCACTAAATTAACTAAGATTATGATTATATTAACTTAAAGAAAATGTAAAATTTAAATGAAAAATATAAATTTTAGTTTTAATAAAATAATATATATATATATATATATTAAATTCTACTTAAAAAACATACAAAGCCTTGTTCAGAAGTGTACACAACAACTTCATAGAGAGGTGGTCCTATTTGCTGAAGAAAGAAATCAACTCCTGGTCGTTTTTTAAACCTCCATCCAGTTTGGTACTAAAATAAAATACGATACATTAATTTCAGATTTATATCGTTACATTTCTAAAAATTAACAATTTAAATACTATAATATTTATTCACAAAATATTGTTAAATTAACACTTATACATTATTTAATTTATTTAAAAAAAACATTTATTAAATATTCTAAAATAGTCATTAAAATAATAGAATGTAATATTAGTATCAAAGAACAGAGCTTGGGTCCATGCTCTTCAAGGTGTGCCCTGAGACTCCAATGTCTGCCCCTTTTATCCCCGACTTTTTCCAGTGGGTTTGAGAATTTCGTCAGGTGATTCTCTGTCACAGCTGTGCCCCAGTGGGCCGTCATAATATTTTGTCATAAGATGGTGACGACTTGGAAAAGGTTTATTTTCCTTTTTGTTGTTTGATTCTTGTGATGGTGGTCACACACATCAACAGTTAGTTGTTAAGATTTATCAAGTAAACTTTCCCAAAGGAAAGAGGGGGTCTCCAGGACCTCACATTTTGTTATATGTAGTTATTTAATTTTTTTGTATATTTATTTTAATTTATAATACATTACTATACTCCTGAGCATGCAAACTTCTTACATAAGAAACATTTTTAAAATTTGTCTTGTTCTGGTGTAGTAAACACTAGTATTGTGTTTTATTCCAAAGACACATGGCAAGTTTTTCATCAAATTCCTTTATTAGTTGTCTTGTTGTTCAAATTTGCATTCTACCAGTAGAACCTGATGATAACCTTTATAAAGGTTTAAAATGTTTGTTTTTCAATAAATGTTTTTTGTTCTTTTAAATGAAATTTCATTAATTGTTTTGATTACATCTCTGATTGTAATCCAATGAATGATAAGAATATTAAAATTCATTGTTCTTACATAAGATCTAAACTAGTTTTGTCAAGTCTTTTATGGCTTAAAANTAGTCATTAAAATAATAGAATGTAATATTAGTATCAAAGAACAGAGCTTGGGTCCATGCTCTTCAAGGTGTGCCCTGAGACTCCAATGTCTGCCCCTTTTATCCCCGACTTTTTCCAGTGGGTTTGAGAATTTCGTCAGGTGATTCTCTGTCACAGCTGTGCCCCAGTGGGCCGTCATAATATTTTGTCATAAGATGGTGACGACTTGGAAAAGGTTTATTTTCCTTTTTGTTGTTTGATTCTTGTGATGGTGGTCACACACATCAACAGTTAGTTGTTAAGATTTATCAAGTAAACTTTCCCAAAGGAAAGAGGGGGTCTCCAGGACCTCACATTTTGTTATATGTAGTTATTTAATTTTTTTGTATATTTATTTTAATTTATAATACATTACTATACTCCTGAGCATGCAAACTTCTTACATAAGAAACATTTTTAAAATTTGTCTTGTTCTGGTGTAGTAAACACTAGTATTGTGTTTTATTCCAAAGACACATGGCAAGTTTTTCATCAAATTCCTTTATTAGTTGTCTTGTTGTTCAAATTTGCATTCTACCAGTAGAACCTGATGATAACCTTTATAAAGGTTTAAAATGTTTGTTTTTCAATAAATGTTTTTTGTTCTTTTAAATGAAATTTCATTAATTGTTTTGATTACATCTCTGATTGTAATCCAATGAATGATAAGAATATTAAAATTCATTGTTCTTACATAAGATCTAAACTAGTTTTGTCAAGTCTTTTATGGCTTAAAATATTGGTTGATTAGCACAGCTCTTATTACATTAGCAACATATGAGGTAAATCTTAAACATCTGAACTAAAGTTTGAACCCAATAGCCACTTCTGTTGTCAAGCTGTAACATCAATTTTAAAATATTTAATATATAATTTAATAAAATTTAACTAAAACAAAAAAAATCAACAAAATTTAATTAAAATATTTGATATATAATTTTTGTTGTACAAATTCTTTTGGATATTAGTATATAATACATTTTAGTTTTTTAATTAAATATATATATAAGATAATTCATTATATCAATACATATATTGTTACATTATTATATAATTTATACCAATATATAAAATAAAATAAAAAATAAATCACTATAATTATATTGGCTTTATGTATAAATAAACCCATGAGAATACCAATATCCAGAAAAAAAAAATGAAAAAGTTTAATGAAAACAATGTTTCATTCCACATGAAATGGACATCTTCAGGTCAAATACAAAATAGGATATTTTTAAAATATCTATTCTATTTTGTATTCAACCTGAAGATTCCTGTTTAACATGGAAGAAATGTTTGTTTTATTAAAATTTCTCACTTTTTGCTGATTATTGGTGTCTTCTTTGTCTTCATAAGTTTATTTAAAAAAAAAAAAGTAAACAAAATGGATTGGAATGAATTGGTCACAAGTTAGTGCTTTGAATTTTTAATAACAAATACAAAACTAAACAGCAATGATAAAATATTTTCTTCCATTTTTTAATTGACTGATTGGTGAATTTATCAATGCAATACAGGCTATACTAGAAGCCATAATTTTGTCATTATAGGTAAGCCTGATTTTTAATAGAATTAGACACTTTTGATGAAAAATGAGAATGACACCCTATCCACATTACCTATAATAAATTAGAAAAATATAAATTAACTTCAAACACATATCTGTCGCAATTGCTAGATTATCATACGATTTTTGTTTTAATTAAATAAATACTTGTGACATTTTGAAATAAAGAAAACTTTAGGTTTTTTTACAAAAGGATAGAAAAATATTTGATTATCATATTAATCAATGTAGAATAAATTATTAATCTAATTTACAAAACTATAAATAAATTGTTAATGAATAAACTCTGAATGCAAAGATTATTTGCATCCAGAATTAACTCATTAACTATTATAAATTTCAAAGTAATATTAAAGATTCTTACTGTCCAATCTGGATGAACAAGAACACCAGTCATTTCTAATACCAAAGTATAAGGAGGCTGATAGTATGGTTCTGTTAATGGATCTGGCAGTAGTTTCTCACGAGATGGATCTTTAATCATCTATCAATTAAATTAGAATTATTGTAAACAATTTTTTTATAATAATCGTATGAATTAATTTTTATTACAAAATTTATATTATGTAATTTATTATCATAACAAATGAATTTTTACAAATTAACCTCCTTATGCCAATAAAGTGTGCTTCTCTAGTTTATGACATTTCAACACAGATAGCTACTGAATGTTACTCACTGTGACAAATACTCTAGTTCCAGGTACTTTTTTCAAGTAGTGAATTTGACACATTATAATAAAATTTTGCTCGGCATATTCAAAAACATTACAATAATAAATTGTTCATTATAGTAAAAAACAACATAGGTAAAATATATTTTAAACACATTTTTTTTGTTAATTGTAAATGACTGCATAAATGTGTAGACCAGTGATTCCCAAACTTTTTTGATCCACTAACCCTTGGTTCCATAAACTTGTACCCAATGCCTCCCAACCATAACCTAATGCCCCTTAACTCATTTTTCCTTGTGAGAAACAAAGGCTTGGAAATATTCTTTTCTATAAACCTCATGCTTACTGTACATCTAGAACCATTAAATGCAAAATTTCTTCTTATCTGTTTTAACAAAGAAAAGTGAGAGAGACCCTAATCCTCATCTACGATTACCATTCAGTACCCTGTCTCCAGTGTCCCTTGTTGCCATGTGCTTCTTTTTGCCCTCCTAGATTTACTCATCACCCACAGGGGGCACTTTAGATTCCATTGGTTTAGACAGTCATTTGACATTACATGGGATGGAGTAAAAATTTACACAAAACTTCATTTCATGTGGTATCTGCTGACATGCAACTCATCCATAACACAAGACCCATATTGTACTTCATAAACATTTATTTACATTTAATTTGAAATTTGGTTGAAAAAAAATTAGTTAAAAATTTCCTGCATAAATATTTCATATTCTAATTAGTAATTTAGGAACCTGGTCAATTTTTATTCACTCTAAATTAAATGTAATGTGTAATGACATCACAATTTTAAGCAGTTATGTTCCTTAATTTCAGAATTTCAAAAAAACCTTCTTAAGTTTATTTCTAAAATGAAAGCAGTCTGCTGATTTAAAAGCAGAGATTATTAAATATTTATTGTCAAACTTTAATGCTTTAATTATTTCAACTATAATAACAACGTATAAATAAATTTAGAAGATTAAAATAACCGCAAACTTTTATGAAACATTATTATTTAAACGCTTTTACATTATTCAAATAAACATAATTTGAAATAATAACATAATTTCGTTCATATGTATAATAGATGCATAATATAAATTATAATAAAAAAATACTATATGTATGTAACTTTCTCAGATTGGAAATGTTCAGGGTAGTCCATTTTAATCAATCCAATCAATGCATATCTTTTGAGTTATTCCAACTTGAAAAATACGCATCCTACAAAATGTCATTAAACCAAAAATGTTAGAAGAGACAATAACAAGGGAGAACCACAAGATGGGGCAATTAGTTTCATCATAGATGGTGCTACAATCAGTGAAAATGGGATCAACTTCATTTTCTTAAGTGAGAACCTACCTTTTTTTAAGTGCATATTCTGATTCTATATCAAAAATTAACAAAGTTTTATGCAAAACATTTTTTCAAAAGATGCACTGCACTTATCAGAAGTTACAAGTATTTGGAGTTTTTAAGTAATGTGGTTGCCACACCATGCACATGTAAATCTATTGATATCTGTGAAGTTTACTGAAAAAGGGAGAAAAACACTAAAACAAAACATTCTGAAACTATTATTATTTAGTTGGAATCAAAACCAATGTCTTCTCTTTATCACATTGTGACACTAGTTTTGTATGTGTTCATTTAAAAAAAAAATTATTTCACTAAGATATGATTTTTTTAAGCAATTTTCTCCTTTTTATCAATTAACTTCACAGATATCCATAGATTCAGGCATGTACTGGTGGTAGCTGCATAAAACTTCAAATGATCATAACTTCTGATAAGTGCATCTGTTAAAAAATGTTTTAGATAAAAGATTTTTTGTTTTGATGTAGAATCATAATATGTAATAAGAAGTGAGGTTACCATTTAAGTTGACCCCATTTTCACTGATTGTAGTGTCATCTATGATGAAACTGATAGCCCCATCTTGTGGTCCCCCTAAAGTCTAACATTTTAGGTTTAAAAACTTTTTTGTAGATGCATATTTTTATAGTTATTTTAGTGAACTGACTAAAATGGCTTACCTTGTACACTTTCAAATAACAATGCTTATATGTTGATATTTTGCATGAATTGCAAGATCATTTGGATTGGAATCTAGTATCTAGATATCAACTATTATCAGAAAAATTTATACAAGAATTCCACCTTCTTCTTTCTAGTGTCATATTTTAAAATATCAAAACCTAAAATGCAAATTTGTTCTTGATCACTCTTGAACATTGATGTTATATTGTGAATTAAAATGTATATTCATTGAATTAATAAAAATAAATGCCAAAGTAAATCAATCCTATACTATTGTTATATTATTTTAACTTCTGGTTAGATAAATCAAGTAAATGTACTTTGCTGTTGGGAATCATTAAAGCAAAGAATGAATGTTACAATAAACTAATAAAAGAATAAGTTATTTAACTTTACACTATACTATTTATGCAATAAAAAATTAAATATATCTAAGATTTTCAGAGTAGTTACCTTATTACATCTTCAAAATTTAAACATTTATGTTAAACTAATGTTAAAATAATAATAAAGTTAAATGATAAGAGATCAGAAAATCTACACAGAAAAACAAATTATTAAAAATGCATACAGTATATATTTGAACATAAAAATAATATATTTTGTTAAATGAAATACAGTAGACTCTTGCCCTCAATAATCTGGCTAACTACCAGTGTGATCATCAATGCACTTTTATTTTTATGAAAATACTAGCCATGTCACACATTTTGTTTTCTTGTTTAATTGAGTTGTATTTGTGTACAGTATTGCATTCCAACAAGCTGTATTATTTGCCCATCTGCTAGAAAAATGAAACAATACCAAAAGTTACAGGTGAAGTCATTCACTGACTTTAAGCAGACTTGAGGCTTAAACACACTCAGTAAACTGGCACTGCTCTATGCAAGGAATAACCAGGAGTGTCTACTGTATTTAATGTTTTATCCAACTAAGTAAAATACAAAAACAGCAAATACCTGTTTCATTTTTAATTATTAATTTAATTTAAAAAAAACAAAACATAGTATAATAATTAATTTTGTAAATTTAAGTAAATTCATCATCATTTCATAATTAAACAAACAAAGTTTATTATAATATGAATATGATTTGTGTGTAAAATATACAGAAAATTTCATAACTATACCTTATCATAATAAAGTAATTCTTTGTAAGAACGTAAAATGTAAGCTTTCCAGATTGGCACTAAAAAATAATCAGAATAAATATTTATTTAATAACAAATTTTAATACGTTGCTGAAAAATTTAACTTACTTTCGGAGAATTCATCTGTTATCTGTAGGAAAAAATTGATTATAAAAATGTTTATATTAATATTAAATATTTTAAAATTCTTTAACAAACTATTAAATAATAAAATATTTTCTTCCAAGTGAATAGCTTTTTGAATAAAGTAACAGATTGTTATGCATTATTACATTACACAAAAATACTTCATATGTAAATTTACACATACTTCTTAGTCAATATGAATAAAAAATAATGCATTAACAATATGAGTAAAATATCCAAAATAAATAAATACTTTTTCATTTCAATTATTCAGCTACAAAAAAGGAAAAAACCTGACTTCATATAAATAACAAAAACATAAAAAATATAAAATTTCTTTCTTTTTAACTTAATTTTAATGTAAAATCTAATCTAAATTATTAAATTAATTCAATATAATTTTCAATCAAATTTTTAATTTGAAAAAATCTACAAGTACCAAGTTTAAATTTAGAAAGACAGCAGCTGTTTTTTTCAACTTATTATTTAATTTTTTTTCCACATTCCTAATAAGTTTAGTAAGGTGAAATTAGAAGTCTTAGTCTTCAAATACAATTCTTTACACAAAACATTCTCTGGATTTTCATATACAAATTCTAGCCATTATTATTTGGAGTAATGATTATATAAACACATCACAACATATTTTTTAAAGTTTCTATTTTTATTCTTAATATTGATACATTCAATCAACCAATCTATGTATAATTTTTGAAACAACATAACGAGTTTCATAGAATGTCAAGTTATGAGAGTCAACTTCGTGAGACTCTACTGTATTAAGATAAATAAGAAATAATATAATAAAAACTAACTGTAAAGATCATCTCAATTTAAAGTTATTCACATAGCTACATTAAAATAAATTCAGATCACAGATGTAGAGCATTGTGACTAATATTCTTATTACACATGTTAATGTCATTCAACAAAACATTTCTTTCTGTTTAAAAATATGATATCCAAAATCATATCTTTATTGATTCACAAGCGGCTTTGCACACTTTTCCAGCCATACTACATTTATTCTTGTATATTAAATTATATTCTAAGCAAACATATACATAGAGTATAATTTGTTATACAAGAGTAAATATTATAGAGCTGGAAAAATGTGGAAAGGCTATTAATAATTTTCAGCTAATTAATATTAAACTTAACATATCTTTATTATTGTTTTTAATAAAAATTTATTTTATAATTTATCAAATACTGCACAGTACATACCCAAGCTAGAACTGCATTGTGGAGTAAGTGGTGGATAATGCAATTCTCCTTCAAGAATCGGAATTGTTGGAAATCTCTACCCCTTTTAGTGTACTTTATAAAATAATAATAATGACATTTTGTTCAGTAACAGAATCCAATATATTTGTGGAGATGAATGTTACATTTAATCCCGAAGAAACATTCTACCCAACCATTCCTATCGGTGCCAGATTATCAGTTCACTCGAGGACTCAATTAATTAATCCTTTTATCAATGGTGTGCTTATTAGACCCGGTAGGAAATACGGAATTCAATTGAGAATTGTAAGTGAAAAATAAATTATATAATATTATTTGATAAAATATAGTATTTACAAATAATATTATTTCAGATTGAACACAATCTGTTGCCCGCTCCTTATAGAACAAATTGTAAAATGTATGATCGAAGTCACGGTAAAACAAGACACATACTATATAGTCGAGATGTGAGTATATTTATTTCTGTATAAATATAAAATTAAACCAAATTAAACTAAAAATTATTAATCATTAGACCGATAGTTTTTAATTTAAAATATTTAGCGCTGCTTAATTGAATGTAGTAAAATAAATTGGATAAAAAAGTGTGGCTGTGTTGGTGAAGAATATCCATTTCGATTCGAAGGAAAATTCTGTGATGATTTCGGTAAGATGCTTATTTATATTTTTTCTATTATTTAAAAATTATTCTCTTACTTGTATATGAGGGGGAGGAATGATCTTGTTAACTCTATTTGAAGCTTAATNATATTAAAATCATGTGAAAGATAAAATATAATAATGTATATATATATAATTAAAATTAATTTTCAATGCAATTATTAAAGTATTTTTATTATACCTACTTTTCTGAAAATTTTTTAAGGTTTTGAATACTATATTTTATAATATAAATAAAACATTTCAACTGATAGATAAACATATTAAAAATATATTTATAAAAGACATTCAACAATAAGAATGCAGAAAACAAATTAGATTACATCAATTTTTCATTTCAATCTTCTCAGATATTCATAACAGCAAGTTTAGAATTCAAGAAATATAATTTAACTTCTCCATTCTTAAAATTTTCTTTAAATCAACAGTAATTTATTTTAGATTTTAAACAGTTTTTAAAATCATGCTGCATTGCAGGAATCTTGTTACATTCAAAGTTTGTTGCTAATCCAAAAAGATTGGATGGAGAACACTGGTCTTAATGATTTGATTCATCATTTAGTGCTTCAAAAAACTCGTCTATGAACAATGGTCTTAATGTTTTCCCAAAAATTAGTAAGTCTACAAATGGAAAGTGAATAAAACCACTGAGTATTGATAATTGGTCATAGGTTTGCACCTTACAAATGGGCCAACTATGTGAAGTTCTTCCAGCTTTTCTTCACATTTGTAACACCTAAATAGGGGTCAGTTTACCCTCCTGAGAGATATCTCTACTTTGGCAGATTGCCCATTTGTTGCTTTGCTGTATTCCAACAAACCAAACCCAAAACATATTCTATATTTTGACATTTACTATCACATTGATGATAAAGTAAGATTAAACAAATATTTAAATAATAAAAGAATTAAAAATNTCTTGTTAACTCTATTTGAAGCTTAATAATTCCTGTGCTTTTTGTCGAAAATTTCTGAAATTTTGCAGGAAGATTTGTTTATTAGGGTGATTGATACTACTAAATTTTGGTGGTTAAAGATCGAGGGGGTGAGGAGATAAAGGGGACTTGGATATCTCAAATAGAGTCCGACTTTACTCGTTATTACCTTTTATAATTAAGTTTATTTTTCATCACAGATTCTCTACAATGTGTTAGAAACTTAAATAATGAAGATTGCTACCAAAAGTGCCGTATAAACTGCAGGTCAGATATTTTTTAAAATGATTTCAGACAGTAGAGATGTACTTAAACTCATTATATGTAACTTAAACGTATTAAATGAATTTCAGATATTACATTTTTCGATATAGCGTGGATGAATCGCCCATAGAATGCAACAATGTAAGTCTAGATTTTATAATATAAACAATTTAAAAAAGTTAAAAAAAAAACATAATTTGTATTGAATATTTTATATTTATTTTTAGTGTACCGACGTTTTAAAGAATCCCGAATCAGTTAGGAAACATGGAAACAGGCAAATTTGATTTAATTTTAAAATAAAATTTAATTTATTTATTATTAATTACATATTGATTTTTTTTATTCATTAGAATTAAGCATTCACTTCTGAGTTTTTTTCTAAAAAGTCCCGAAATTTTAATATATAAATATAAGCCACAATTTCAAGTAAGTTTATATTTATTTCGATTTAAAATATTTAATTTTTGAATATATCATTTGAGATTATCTTTTTTATATTATTATTATAGGTAATTGAAGTATTTGGATACATTGGAGGTTACGTGGGAATTTGGTTGGGAATATCTTTAATTGCTGTTTTCGATTTACTGGAAACTCTATTTGTTTACTTTTCCTATAGATTAAAAGGAAAAATTCCGAAATTAACTTTAAAAAAATAAAATTACTATTAAATATTCTACTTTAATATTTTAAAGATGAATTTTAAAATACCTTATAATTCAATCTATATTGTATAATAAGCTATTTTAATAAAAATTATACTAAAGAGAAGATAAGAGAAGATTAATTATCACATTAGATCAGTCAATGTAGCTTTTAAAAAATAAAAAAATAATCTCTTCTAAAAAGTTTTCGTTTTGAATTTGTCTCCCAGCTTCATTACACGCAACACTTTCTATTTTAAAACCTCGCCTCTACTTACTCATACTCCTCTTCTCATTAATACATATACCAGTCGACCCCCCCTATAACACTGTTGATTATTCTGTTTTATATGAATTCCATGTTGTACGAGTCACTTAGATTTTACAAATACGTGAGCCGTTCATAGCCCAGCACACGTATTTGTAAAATCTAAGTGACTCGTACAACATGGAATTCATATAAAACGGAAT